TGACATTGACCTCTGAGTAGTTTCCAACACTGCTTTCTATTTTAAGAAAACCTGTGTTTTGGGAAGTTAGTACCCTATATCCCCAAAGTTAATCTACTTAATAAATTCCCCTCTGTTCACAATAGAGGAAAATAAACATATAAAACTTTAAAAGGAATAAAGAACAAGTATATACCATATTAGGTATTTGAGGCCATCTAAATGTGAACTAACACAAATCAGGTACTACAAACCACCGCTAGACTTTTTCATCCAGTGAAACTCAATTCCTTTCTGAAACTCAATTCCTTTCAAATTGATGAATATTTCTCACAACAGTACTTTTCCGCTTTGTTTCATTTCAGAGTAAACTATTCAGAAAGATGCATGTTTTATGTTTTGAAAGATATTTGGACCAGATACAAACTTCGGTTGGGTCTGGAAGGCAAAAAATGAATATGTAGGGTGGTGTAATTTTTTCTTGTTCATATGTTTTTATTAAGAATAATTTAATTTTTTTGCAAAGGGGCAGCTCATAAAAGTGATCCCTTTTTTATGAGAATGTAGGAAGTAAGAGGTTAACCAATTATTCAAGATTAGAATAAAAGAGGGACCCTTTTTATTTCTTAAAAAAGCAAATTCAATCATTAGTATAAGGAGATACTTAAAAGGAGGGAAGCGGACTCATATACAGGTACTACTTGATATCAACACATGTGTCTCTAAATCACTTTTGCATGGAAAAATTATGAAATACTTTAAAATGAATCAAAAAGATTACTGAGTATCTTCAATGGTAATCAGGTATTGTGTAATGTGCCTTTCTGATTCTTTGGTGTCTCTACACCTTTCATTGCTTCTGAGCTTCACTGCTTTGGAAAATGGGGATGAATGATAGAAATGCAAATTATTTTTGTCCCTAGAGATGCAAATGAATTTTGTCTCAAAAAGTACAATTGATTCCCCTTCTCCTTTATAGAAGATGCTTGCTTTGCACCTACTTAGCAAGTTTATTTCAGCAATCCCAGTTGCTTCCATATGTGTGTTCCTTTGGGTGCTCCTTTGAACTGATTGAAACATCTTACTGGTCTCTTCATTAATTAATGAGCTAAGTAGACTCCTTAGCATATGCTTATTTATATTTGTATAAGACTCATGATTTTACCTTTATTTTAAAAAGTACCCTTTAACACTTCATATTTGAATCAAGTCTAGACCTGGTCCTCTTTTAATGTGTATATATCAAAAGCACCATCATCCATTGTTTCATTAATATGTACATTCAAGAACTTTAGAGACATCTTCAACTTCTTTTTTCTATTCTCCTATATACTCTTCACTTCATCAAATCTACTTTCAAGTACTTCCTTTATAGGTGCTCCTATTCAAAAACATCAGATCCTAGTGGACAGTGTATCTAGGTTTCTGCAGTTTTATGCATTTATGTCATGACATTTCATACTACACTATGTAATTTATAGTTTCTCTGTACAATTTAGAAACTTTTCAATGAGCAATATTTCAAATGGACATCTTCACATTGAATTATTTTCTAGACCCGACACATATTTTATTTTCTAAATATCTTTTCAAATCATTTCTTTTGTTTCTTTTCCACCATTACTGTAGCTGCAATATGTTGAT